GCTCAGCCCTGCATCATCGTCATTTCCATTGATCAAATTTGATTTAACAATAGGAAGACGACCAGAGCAAGTCAATCAAAGGCTTTCAGAAAAAATAAATAGGGAAGGAGGGACTGATATTGGCTGTTCTGACTAGGGTGTCTATTGCACGGACGCGACAACCCGAGGGTTCACGTTAAGAAGGGCGAGCACTTCACGCGCCCATTCCAAGAGCTCAATCTTGCGCACTATAACAAGAACTGGCGGCAATATTTAACGATCGCAACGGCTATCCATCATCATCATATCTTGATATGTCACAATGCAAGCGTATCATCAGATTTGCCGGAAACTCTTGTTTAGTGGCGCCACGCATAGAATGCAGATTGACCGGGCACTTCGAGAGTACTCTTGATGGAATGAATTCGGTCTAGAATAATCAATCTCCAAGATTCCTCGTCATTGAGATAATGAGCGCAAAGCGACCTGTCATCGTTCATGGTCGAGAACCTTCTAGAATTCTCAACCTCATTGTGCTTACGCCCTAAGCTTGATCTGGATCCTAGGGCAACTACACTCTCCTTGGCGACAAGGTCCCGCGACCTGAAATACCTCGTGTTGCTACTAGAAAGGAATGTTCCAGTAGAAAGAGAAAGGATTTACGCTGTATGGTTGGACGCCCTCAAGAGTTCATGCGTAGTCAATTGCTAGGTTAGCAAACATGTTCAAGTTGAGATGACAGTCAAAGGGCGTCGCTTAAGCAGGCACCAACGTCTGACAACTTCTGTAGGCTTCTCCAGCGGCTTGGTTCGCTCTAGGGGCGGGGAACTAAGACCACATCATTATGATTATCACTCAACAGATGTTTTGGAAGAACAGCTGGCAAGTGTAAATAACAGGCCCTCAGGATGATCCGCGGATACACATAAGTAAGTGAGTTTATCATGGATCCGAGAGTTCGGGAAACAAATGAACAAGGAAGTATTATCATTTAGCAAAGACACAACCTTCCAATCTTCACGACTTTCAGAATCATTATACAATGTCTTCAACATCAGTTTTATCGAAGACGCTTCAGTCCATCACCAGTACTAAGATTCGCGAGTTGGAGAAGCAACGAACTCAGTACGAAAACCGCAAGGCCAAAATCCTCCAAGAGGCCGAAGAACACACCAACCAGGGCGACCGTATCAGCTGCTTGCTTCGAGGGGTCAAGGAACTTTACGCAAAAGGACGCGACGACAATCCTAGCATCGATAATATCGACAACTTGCTGGCTCAGTCCAAATATGACACGTCAGTGCCTCCGTCAATGTTGCAGTCATCTGAGGACCTGTTGAGGTCTAAGCTTGACGTACAAAGCCATAAGCTTAGCATGGCTCACTTGTACTCCCGACTCGTTACCGAGTGGATCAATCCTGGAAGTCCCATGGAGGATTCCAACGCCGCCAAATGGTCAAAGGAGGACTCCTCTTTCGAGGTCATCGACCAGGAACAAGAGCGTCTTCAGAACCTCCGTAACCAGTTCGAGAAGGTGGTGTTCACACCATTGGAGACTGACGAGTCGGAGATCAATGCATATCTGGCAAGTCTCTTCAAGACGAGGGAGAGTGAAAGGGCGCTTGAGGACGTACGGCAACGGACCGCGCGAGCGAGCGAGGACTTTCTCAAGAGACGGAACCCGTTCACCACGACCACGCTGAAAATGTGCATTGCCAGTCTCCTCCAGCAGGATCTCTTAAGCGACGAGAAACAGGCTATCTTACGCGAGTTCGAGTCCAACAATGTTGTTCTACGGGAGATCGCGGACGTCCTTAACACAAGGTTCGTCGATTTCGAGAACTGGGAGTGGGACGCCGGCGAGGATGGAGTATCGTACGTTCCGCGCCAGCAAGCCAATGGCAAGTACCGCATCTGGATGGACGAAGATGTACTGCAGGCTATCTTCATTCACTGGGTCGGTATCAACAGCTGCGTGAGCTTGAAGCGGACCCTCACAGACCTTGTTTCTCTGGACGGGACCGACCAAGTCTGGAGGTGGCACGCTGAGCCATCCATGACTGAGAGGCAGATCCAGCGGCGAGCCTATTATCTCAGCGAACTTCCTACCTGGGTTCTTGATGATTCCTCGCATTCAGCAACACCGAGATGGACTAGGGGAGGTACCAGGGGGCGCGGAAGAGGTGGAAGGGGAGCATCTTTCCGGCCTACCCAAACTCGGCCTGCAATCTCTGATGATACGGTTGCAGGTCTTCGCAGGAAGTATTTCATTCATCACTTTTGCCTCGCCGCCCTGCCGAGCCAGGTAAACACGCTCAACGAGGAGATGTACGCCGATGGAAGAATGTCAGAAGAGGAGGACGACGATGATGTTTCCTCGTCTGAATGGGGAAAGGCCAAGAAGCCGGTCCTGAACATCAAGCAATTTCTTTTGCGCACGCTTGCAACTGAGACGATGCTTCATCAAGCGCTTGATGGCACAGCTGCCGCGTTGCAGTCTGATCTCAAGTGGTTCGGGGCTGGCCTATCCCACACGTCAATCTTTGCCGTTCTCCGCTTCTTTGGGTTCCCGGAGAACATGCTTGCGTTCTACCGGAAGGTTCTTGAGATGCCGGTGAACCTAGGCTCCATTTCGTCTTCCGAGTCAGAGTCCACATCAAATGCACCGCGCATCAGGCGCAGGGGTATGCCGATGAGTCGATCGCCAGCAAAACTCATCGGCGAGTTGGTTTTGTTCGTGATGGACTTTGCCGTCAACCAAGAGACAGGGCTACAACTATACCGCCTGCATGACGACCTTTGGGTTGCAGGTAGTCCTGCGGACACTGCTAGGGCATGGGCTACCATGCAGCACTTCGCCAAGGTTATGGGGTTGGAGTTCAACATGAAGAAGACTGGCTCGGTGTACTTGACCAATGAAGGAGTTCCTCGAGATGAAGCTCTTGATGAGCAGTTGCCTAAGGGTCCTGTCAGCATCGGCCACCTCGTGCTCGACCCTAAGGCTGGAAAGTGGACCATCGACCAGGCGAACGTCGCGGAGCACGTGAAGCAGCTTCAGAAACAACTGGCCGAGTGTCGAAGCATCCTCGACTGGGTACGCACATGGAACAGCTGCATCGGCCGCTTTTTCGGTCAGGCGTTTGGAGAGCCGGCCTATTGCTTGGGCAGGGAGCACGTTGAGAGCGTCTTACGAACCTACCAGAAGATGCAGCACGACATTTTTGCGCCATATTTAGCTGGCACCGGCGACGAGTCGATTGCCGGCGCGGCGAACAGCCAACTCAGTGCAGTTCACTACATCAAGTCCAAGATCGAGCAGCGTTTTGGTGTCTCGGATGTGTCGGACGCCTTCATCTTCTTTCCCGACCAACTAGGTGGCTTGGGACTCCAAAACCAGTTCATACCATTTCTTAAGGTCCAGAAACACCTGTGTGGAATAGGGGTATCACCAGAAGAGATGATTCAGAGCTTTTTCGATCGAGAACGCAATGACTACGAGGACAAGAAGAGCACATTCATGTCGAACAAGGCCACTGAGGCGCGTGAGCTAGGGGATGAGCCCCTCAGCCGATTCGACGCGCAATTCCTCAGCCCAGAGGACTTGGAGACGTTCTTCACCTACGATGAATTCACCAAAAACAGAAGTACCACGAGCAGTCACTTGAAAGAACTCTACGAGCGTGTTCAGGGGACCCCAGCCGTGCTCGGCCCCAAGGCTGACCGGCAGGTTTATCAGGCATTGGAGGACTTGCCCATCCAATCGGCCAATTTACGGTCTGAGCTGAGATGGGTGGTCCAGATGTATCATCAGGAGGCGAAAGAGCGATTCGATGGTCTTAGGCTCATTGAGGAGCGATTCTTGCCGCTGGGTGTCGTTGACATGATGAGGCAAAAGGCCGTGAGATGGGGTTTGGTTCTTTAACATACTGTGCACAGAAGTAGTCAATGAGGCATAGATGGCGTAAAATCCCTGTTACAGTATACTGTGATTTGCATCGCGTGCATCGGGCTTTTTGACTGCTAGTCTCACGAATATTTGAACTCGCCTAGCTGAGTATATTCACAAACGTCTTCAATGTTCGCCCTTGACCTCAATATCGACCATCAAATGGACCAATAACTTTGCGAGTCTCGCCTTCGGCTTTTATTAGTAGTGAATGTGGTATTGTGTGGCCCCAAACAACACTAAGCCCACATACGACTAAGATGAGGGAATTGTATGAGTATGCAGTGATTCAGGAGCCTTACTGAACTTGTATATAAGTCACGAGCTATTCTTCAACGAGGAGTTGGACTCCTCATTTTACACCACTACTCAGGTTGAGCAAGTCCCACTAAATCGCCCAAGTAGGTACATGTCCTTCTCAAACGCGGAAAGACGCAATCATTACAAGCGAGAACGAGAATCGACTCCGGCCAAGTCAACGCATTTACGCATACTTGATTCAAGTAAATCGCAACACAACAAATCATGTGCAAGCCAAAGCACATCACAACTCCATACATGGACGGGTCATTGCTTCCGGCGGCAGAAGACCGACATCGGCGACAGCGCCTACGCGCCAGAGGGCCCAACAATATTCGCCCGCCTAGATCAGTTTGATAGTTTTAACTGCCTTGGAACAAGAGTGCCGCTGAAGAGGGGAATGGGTGAGAATGGGAGAAGCCCGTAGCAATGGACCTCTCATACTCCGGTATTGGCGATGTTGCGAAGTAATAGTGATCAATTCGTGGATTGGAATCTTTCAGGTCGCATCTCTCCAATATGGTAGCGGCATCCCCCTTTCAATTAGACACATTCTGATGTTCATAATAGAAGTCGAAATTGAGCGGCAACTCGCTGACTCTGCTTACTTCATGCCAGTGACATTGCCATTTGCGGGGTGTATCATAGACGTATTTCATCAAGACCGGTGGATCACATGGGTTCCATCACTACAATCCTTCAGGCTAGTAAGTTTGATATATTATTATTGACTTCTGTGCAAGCTTGTAGTCATATTGTCGACCCATTGTTCTAATTACTTCCTTGGGTCCCAATTAGCATCAACATTATCAAGGAGGTTCATAGCCTTGATCATATCGGCCCCCAGAATCTTCTCCAGGCTTACTAGCTTGAAGCTAGCTTCGGTACTGGTACTACCGTCAGGCAGTTGATTGGCATCATCGTGAGTAACGAATAATCCGTGAGGGAAGTCCTTTCCAAGATTTGTCCCGACCGCGGTGATGCCATCGGTATTCGAAACCGCATCAATCTGTCCATCCGACGACTTGGGAATTGTGAAAGTTGTCACATAGTAGTGTGGATCGGCTCGAGTATACACGTTGTAAGAACTGACGCCCTGATTAGACACGAGGATGTATCCTTGATCAGGTTTTACGCCGTAGACGAGGGTAACGCCCTCCACGTCGGCGAAGGTCTGGCCGTCGCCTACAAAGGCAATTTGAATGGCATCATCGTCGGAAGAATCGGGCTCGGCACCATAACGCCACAGGGCAGAGGGCTCTTCGCCGAGGAAGATCCAGCCATTCTCCTCGTCCGTTACACATCCCTCAACCTGGCCGCCTGAACCCCCTGTAAAGTCACGAACGAGAGTGGTCTGGAGAGTACCATTCGAGTTGGACGTCAGCTCGTATTGTAGATAGCGAGCAGACTTTTCGTTGACAAAGAGATATTGCTTGCCGCTGGTGGGAGACTTGTACACGCAGGAACCATAGACTTTGTAGTCCTCCGGGACAGGCTGAATGCCGCCGGGGATGTCTTTCAGGGTTCCATTCGAGGTCATCTCGAAAAGACTGCAAATGTGTCAGTGTAAGGTGTTTCAGGCGACTTGAAATACTCAACTCACCAAAGCGTATCGTCGCCACGGCAGGCAGCGAAAGCGAGATCGACAGTCCTGTTCCCAGCCTGGAAGCCATAGATCATATCGACGTTGTTGGGCTCCGCCGCCGGCAGGGTTTGGAGCAGCTTGCCCTTCAGATCGAAAACACCCAAGCCGGCACCCTCAGTGGACTTGGTCGTAGTGATGATGCGGGACTTATCGGCTGATTCCGGCGAGATCCAAATGGCGGGATCATCTCCGTCGCCGCCATTTTGGTCAGTTTCGTAGGAAGCCTCGACTAAGACAGCCGAGCAGAACAGTCCTCCCCATCCATTCTCGCATTCGCACTGTTGCGGCCCGATACACTCGCCATGTCCAGAGCAATCCTTCGTGCACTGGACCTGATCGCACTTGTCGCCGGTGAAGCCAGCGAAGCAGCCACATCCTAGGGCATTCTCTTGACAGTAGCCGTTGCTCGAGCAGGCGTCGCAGATCGGAGAACGGTCGCGGGGTCCAGTTGCGTTCCGAGGATCATACGCGGTGTTGGCTTCTATCCCGAGATCATCGAGAGCACTACCCAGTGACACCACTCCAAATCCAGCGACGTTGTCTGCTTCGACAGCAAAGCCAAGAGCGCCGCTAGGGTACTTTGAACTTGAGCCCTGATAGATACTGAGGCCCTGGACTTCGATATCCTCGAGGCCATTAAGCTTGATATTGCCGACAAGATCGAATGGGTACTTGTAGACAGCAATGCTACTTTCTTGAGCGACAAACAGGTAGTCAGTGCCGGTGGAATTTGAGACATATGTTGCAATACCAGTCACATCTTCCGCAGCCTCGCCAAGCTTGGTGATTTCTGGGGCAATGGTCGATTCCTTGAGATCGAAGACGTAGATATCCTTGTCATCGTCGGCATTAACGACCATTTTAGCCTGTGATTGTACCACAGCACAGCCGGAGAACTCTGTTGGGACTGGGATGCTTTGAACCTGTTTGAAGTTTCAGTCAGTGAGAAATGAGTTGAGGAGCTGGAACCGGGCTTTCTCACCTCCACCAGTTCAATGGAGTCCTTGGTCGGGCGGACCACATACTGCACTACCACACTCTTACCGAAGAGAAAGACGTAGTCGTTCAGACTGTTGGTTCGCCACGAGCATATGGCTGCCCAGTCTCCAAGCATGGTCACTTGGGCTGACTCGATTTCCTTGAATCCTGGCATCTCGTAGACGCGAATTATGGAGTCCGGCATCGCAATAGTAACCGCATAGTCTTTCCCCGTGACATTGTAGACTGTCGTGATGATCTTTGTTCGGCCAGTGATCATGGACTTGACCTCGGACAGTGGCGAATCGCTGTTCAGATCCCACGCGTGAAAGCCTCCCGTCGCAGCACCTCCATCGTTTCCTAGCAGTAGAGGCTTCTCTTTGGAGTAGAACATGTTTGTCCAATCGGCTTCGAGTTCGCCACCAGTCAGGGCTGTGATATTGGCCTCGACGTCGGCGGCCGTGGCTAGCCAGGGATGCATCGCGACCGCGGCTATTGCCGCGGCGCATGCGAGATATCTGAGGCCCATGGCGGTTTGGTCAAGTCGATAGAGGTCTGCCTGACATGGCAAGACGTGCAAACTGAAGGCTCGCCTTGTGAGGAGGAACAGTCCATTTATCATGTCGTCTCATTGCCTGCCCCCTCCAAGCGGGCGGGCAGCGGAGGAGCGGGTAGCCCCACGCCTACAGGGCCGGGATGGCAATGCAAGTTCAGCCCCTCCAGGTCCCCTTCAGGGATGAGAGACTAGGCTGCGACCTTTTACCGAATCTGCTTTCAGTTTGGCAATCTGATGGACAATGTCTGCGTCAATACTGCGGGTGGTGGAACACTGATGGTTCCCTTCGGGTGAAACGCGTGCATGAAAGGGGAAAAACAATTGGTGGACGCGATGGGACGAAGAATATTGGAGCTTCCACTTTTGGAGTCGTCCGTCTTGGCATTGGAACACCATTAATCCAAGGTGAAGTCACAGGTCCGAACGAGGAGCTGGTTGAGAGAAACTCGACTTTTGATTCTGTCAGAAAAGTTAAATGCCATGCATCCCAATACCCGCTATACTTTAATTGTACGGTGACATCGGGGGGAACTTCCGAGGCCGACAATCGGTTTCCGCTTTCTGTCCTTCGCAACTTCACAATTGGCTCGTGTTCAAGGCTGGGCCGATTTAACGCGCTCGGGTCTCGTCGCGGGCTTCAGACGCCAAGTTCCAACTTGTCATCATTTGTTTTGACTTCTCGATTTATGTGAAATGTGACTGGACGCAGCTTGGCCAAATCAACCATCGTCTCATGTCTCGGGCAAATGACGATGAACTTCAAGAGCGCATGCAAGTAGGATGGATTTGCCGCGGTTTCTTTCACATTATCAGATGAGCACCGACAGCGTGCGTTTTCTTGCGGCTTGTGATTGGGAAGTACTAATAGTCCGTTTCTTGAACTTTTCTGACTTGCGCTCCCTTGTCCTTCCCAGACACGAAAGTCGACTGAAAAGTCGTCGACATTATATAATCGTTACCAATATAAAGTAGCATCAATGCGGGTAATTCAATGCTTCTAATAGTGGCCAAAATAAGACAGACAAGACGGTATCTTCACACAAATCGCAGAACAGTGAGATCGGACTAGAGTAAACATCATTCAATACCCTAACGAGCTACTCGAGGTTCGAAATGCAGTACATTGAAGGAGAGTAAGTAAGAAGATCCATCAAGGTAAATGCCGCAAGCCTTGACAGCGGCGTCGCCGAAGAGCTATATCTTCCAAGTATGTATCTCAAAGGCGTGAATCCCCATGTAAGAGCATCAGCCAACAGTAGCTCCAGTTACGATCAGAATAGTATGTCTTACCTAAAGGATATACCCGACCAAAGGCTACATCACGTCGTATCTCAAAGCCCCCTTCGAGACATCTTTCTCCCCGGCATGACTTTTAGGCACTAAATTCTCTCCTAGATTTCGGAGGCCTGGGTTAGATTAAATCAAGCAGACTAAATCAAAATTAGGCATCTACCTCACCTGGCTTCTCTAGTAGGATGATCACCACGGCATGAGCCAGAAATCTCCAGCAAAAGTATCTTCAGTACATATCAGCTGGACATGTTTGGAAGAAAAATTGAAGTATGGATGAAATGGTATTTGCGCGCTCAATCCCATTGAGATTGTATGTTCAATGCATCTAAAGGTATTTGAAGTTCTATCATACAAAGAAATTGTAACAGGTAGCTCTCGAAGTCCTGCGTCAGGCCCGTCGACTAAAGTGCCTTACGAAGGGGGAGCAGCAGTGCCGGAAGGAGGGCTGCCGCTCATGGTGCCGTTGCCACCGGGGCCGCCGGAGCCACCGCCACCGCCAACAGTGGCACCAGTGGAGTGGCCACCATCCTCATCAAGGTAGCCGGCAATGTTGTAGTAGTCGTCATCGGTGTAGTCAGCGGAAGCATTGACACCAATCTGGATCCAGGCGAAGAGACCGTCCTGGAGGTCATCGCTCAGGTAGACGAACTGAGGGAAGGGGTCGTAGGAGGCATCGGCCTGGAGGATGGACCACATGTCGTCGGCGTTGGAGGTGACGTCCTGCGTGTTGGTGTTGTAGGGGTAGAGCTCCTCGACGGCGGAGCGAATGGACTCGGGCCAGAAGACCTGGCCGATGTGGCTGACGGGAGCATTCCAGACGGAGATAGTGCCGTTGGGCATCAGAGTCGCGTTGGTGTGCGAGAGCAAGTGGGTGTGGGTGGCGCGACCTTGGTAGTGGCCAGGGAAGATGGTCTCGAACTGGGCGACACCGTCGGCATCAGTGAGCTGAATGCCGCGGAGGAACGTGCTGTTCATGCCGTCGGCGGCGTAGTTGCCGTTGGTGGAGATGCCGGAGTAGATACCGGTGGCGTTGCAGTTCCAGATGTCGACGGCGACCTGGGGAATGGGGTCGCAGGTAGCGACGTCGACATACTGAACCTCGAGGAAGACGGGGACACCATCGCACCACTTTTGCTCAATGACGTTGGAGCGCATGTTCTCGCCGACGATGTAGTAGGGGCCGTCGGTAATCTCGGGAGCCAAGACGCAGGAAGTGTTGGCGCTGAATACATCCTCGAGGGGGGTGAAGATGCCGTTGTTGCTAGAGCCGGTCATGTTGTGATTGACTTCCTCCCAGGCGGTGAGCGCGTCCGCATCACGACGGTACTTGCGGGCAGCTATGGAAACGTCAGTGAATATTCGCAGAAGTCTCAGACAGATGGGTACTTACGGGTCTTGAGGCCCTTGGCGGCGCGGATGTCCTTGACCTTCTGGGCACGGCGCTCAACGGCGCGCTTCTTCATGGCCTGAGCACCAGCAGTGTTGGAGCAGGCGTTCAGGGAGCGCTGGCCGACGGCGGCGACGTTGTCACGGAGCTGGATGTTGCGCTTCATGTGCTCATGGCTGTGGTGCTCGCCGGGGTGAGCAGAGACGCAGCCGGCGAGGGCGAGGCCGGCGGCCGAAAGGGCAGAGATGCGAACCATTGTTGATGCTGTAGTAATGAGACCAAATTTATAGCGAATGTTGAAAACGATTGTAGATCTTTTGTTGTAGAAGCGACTGCTGTTGCTGCGATGGTTGCGGCTGATGGTTCTTTCCAAATCCCAAAAATCAGGCGCTGAGACCAGTCTTTATACAAATCGATCTGCGTTCTACATCTCCGCCATCTTCCATTATCAACGCGTTCATCTCTACGTGATGTGGACAGTCGATGGAGACTTCGCTCTCGTCCGATCCCCCTACATGGGGGAGCCCTCGTCACCTCCCGTCCCGCCCTGCTATTTTCGACTCTTCCATCGAGCGTCTGCGGTCCATCGTCTGAACATCCGTCCAACCAGGACCGCGCAAAAGGTCATACGCTACCCGTTGCCGTCGTGGCGCGCAGGGATTCCGTACTTCTGAGCCTCACATACACGACTTCGTTCCCCGCTGAGGGCGCATTCTCAACTTTTCGAGTCAATGCGTCTCCACGCCAGTGCCTGTCCTTAAGCGTCCCTGACGTCCTTAACTCAGCCTCAGAGCACACGCCAAGCGGTTAAGAAATGCTTGGAGAAGCTTGAGATGGAAAGAAGGTGGTTCTAGAGCGGAACCCGGGGTCGATCCGGAGTGGGGACTGGTCCCGGGGGCGACCTTCGGGCCTCCCACATTCCGTTTCGTCGTTGGGGATCCCGACGTTGGCGGGAAGACTGCCTGAGTTTGGTTCCTTGACATTTTGGGCCTTCTCAGGTAAAAGTTCCCAGGGGCACCGGATGACGAGGCCACTCTCCACTTGGCGGGTGGCGCCGCTGCGCGTTTGCGCAAGCTTCAATGAGATTGGACTAAATTCCGCTGACTTGGACAAAACATGCTTGACGGAGCTCGGGAGACAGTGGGCTTCAGCGGAGAGACCATGTCAAGCTTGTTTATTTCCCTGGGCCACATCGGTCTGTGGGAGAGCTTTGGAAAGGGGCGGAGAACGCTCTCGCGGGCCCCGAATTTTCATCCCTTTTTGTCTTCTATGCATCAGCCAACGCGGAACAGTTGTGGACTAGATGGGAGCTGTGAGAAAGAGATTGGAGAGGCAACTCCTACTCAAGATATTGATATCCAGCTCAATTGACTTTTGACTTTGAACTATCTTCGTCACTGAGCAGACGAGCTGAGCGTGCATGCGTGGTGTGGAGCAGAAAATCTCCCATACTGAAAGAGAGTGTCGGAACTTTTAGGCCTTGCGTAACTTTATTCAGGGGGGTTCATCTTGTCTCAACGTCCCGCGGCTCAGCCTATGTAAACCAAACAAACATGAATCGTCCAGCGAAGATGCCCTACTGCAGTCTATCTGCCTCCCTGTGCCCGGATTCACCGGCACAGCGATACTTTGTCCGGGGTCCCTATTTCTCTATTTCTAGGACGAGACGAGATGGACCTATCTGGGCGCAGCCAATCAATCTGAAATGCCGTCATTGGCTGTCGGGCTAGTTGTGACCCTCAACCGCAATGAAGGTCTGGAGGGGGGGAGGGGTGTTCGGAGTCGTCACTTGACGCGTGTCAGTCATGACTTGTTTAATTCCGGGTAAGGGCGCCCTCTATCATTTCGTAATGCGACGCCGCAACGGTTCTCAACAGCACATTGATCTGAAGTCGGTCTCCAGCTAAGCACATGCACCGTTGAGACTAAACCTTTTCAGTCACGTCTGGAAACATTCTCCGGACAAGTCAGAGAGGACTGGCCCTTGACCGAGGCTCTGTCCAGAGTCCAGACTCCAGTGAGGAAGATGGAACGAAACTTGCGCACAGCCGATTTGCATTTTCATTTGGATCGACACGTTGAATGACCAATATGGTTACTTTTGACAATTTCACCCTCAAAGTGACAAAACCTGAGTTTATAAATTTCACCGGTCACAGCTCTCCATTCAACACCACCACTGCTTAAGATACATTCTCAAAGACAACATCGTTGGTCATTCCATATGTTCTCCAAGTGACCATTACAAGCACAGACGTATTTGGCCCCTTAATCCTTTAACCAAGAAGATTCC